ACCGAGCCCTGTGGGACCCCACTTCCCATGTCCTTCCAGGTCGAGAAGGACCCATCCACTACCACCCTCTGGGTGCGACTCTCTAACCAGTTGGCGACCCATTGGACTGTATGGGTGTCTATGCCACAGTCCCCCAGCTTCCTAATGAGAATGGGGTGAGAGACAGTGTCAAAAGCCTTCCTGAAGTCTAGGAAAACTATGTCCAAGGCCACCCCTGCATCCAATGATTTAGTGACCTGGTCGTAAAAGGCCACAATGATAGGGATAGGCTGGTCGTAAAAGGCCACAATGATAGGGGACACAATGGTGCCACTTTATTTTGAAACCCTCTATCAGATGTCTATTCACAAAAATAGTACTTTTTTCTATTGGATTTATTATACTGCTCCCACATATGTCACATTTCAGCCCTTGGGGTCATCAAAAGGGCCACATCTTTTCGTGTCTTAAAATGGATGTCTTTTCCTCAGCCTAAAAGGTAAAAGTGTTTTGTTAAACTTCAGTAAAATCTGTTTAGGTGTTTTAACCAGGTGGGGAGGAAAATGCATAGATAAGATGATGCGATGGAAAAAGAAGGCATTGGGCTGCTTCAGAATGCCAAAATGCTGAAATGTGGCAGCTGGAAACCTTTTCAATCATTTGTTAATTGAAGACTATTTTATTTTCTAGAACTGGTTCTATTTTTTAGTCCTGTCCCTTGCACTCAACAAGGAACTTGGAGAACTGGAGGAAGCAGGGCTGAATGAGTGGCATGATTATTGCATAAATAATGCTGGAGGTGTGCAAGAAATCCAGTCCAGAGGGAGCAAGAGGCACTGCCACTGCTGCAAATGTCTGAGCACACTAACTGAATAGTAATAGGGCAGCCCTGCACCAGCCAAGGAGCTAGAATGGGAGACTTTCCATGAAAGGGAAATAGTTAACTCAGAACTGTAATTGACAAATGGTGTCTGGAACTGAAGAAGGCTATAGAAATTTATACTGTGCCATCCAGTGAGTCGGAGATTTTGGATTTCTCTGATTCTGAGCTGGCATTCTTTGCTGTTCAGTTGTATGGTAGTGCTGTGGTAATTTTACTAAATGGGTGTCAGTGTTTTATCTGTTTACCTCCTCTTTAAATTTTATTTGGCTGGATCCTTTGCAGTTGTATAGTCATCCTTGGAGGAACACTTCTGCAGTGCTTAGGGGTATGTCAAATACACAGCCTAATGGATCCCTTCATTCTGGTTTCACAAGCCCTTCATCCCAACATCACCTACGTTATAAGTTAATTAAAAACACCTTCAAACCCAGTTAACTAACTCTACATGCTGCAGAAAGGTGATGTTTCTGTCAGGAGCTCAGAGTTATTCCATGGATTTCACTCTGCAACAGGAGGAAGTTTCTTGGCTTATAGCTAAGCTTTAAGGGCAAGATTAACAGTTGCTGATGCAAAGGGGAAATGCGGCAGGTATAAAACCCCTCCAGAAATTACCCCCAGCATAGGAGGCTTATGTGCCAGGCTCAGGGCTGGCTCTGCCCTCTCTGTTACACCAGCAGCAGTTGCAGGCTTGGGGGCCATCATTTTATATGTCTTGGGAGGCTGGAGGTGGAGCAGGGGCTAGCTGCAGAAAGAAGGGGCGTCCAGACAATTGAGGACGAGACGGCAGACGGTGCACCTTTACTCCTTCTGATTCTGCATTGTGTCCAGGGGCTGTAGGTTTGCCTGAAACTGTTCAGGAGGCAAACCAATTCCTGCCACGTCTGAACAGTGAAAGCTCCAGTACTGACGCAGGACTGTGGAAGATTCTTCCATAGGCGGCTTCGACAGCTGTTGGTCAACTATCTACACCCTTATAAAGCTTTTTTCTAATGCTCAGCCTACATCTCACCACTTGTCCCTTAAACCTTGCACTACTTCTTGTTCTGCTCTTGCTAATGAGACCAGTTTAGAATCCTTCTTCGTGGCTAGGTGACCAGTGCTACTATCCCTGCTCTGCTGTAACTTGCCCTGGGAAAAGCTCACTTCTGCTTGGAGGGGGAAGGAGGAAGGTGGTCTTAACTGTCCTAGGTGTTTCACACCCTGCTCTTCTAGTCTGGTGGTGTGGGGCTGTTTCTGCTGTGGCAAGGACTAAGGGAGGCAGGAGATGCATTCTGGTGCCTCCTCTAAGCCAGTAGCTGGGGCTGATGCCCCTCTGCTGCCCACCTCCCCCAGTTACACTGCTGGCTTTATCTTTGGTCCAGAGCCTATCTTGTTCCTTAGCTTTCCCTCAGAGTTACTCATTTTCAGTCCTTTCATCATTCACTGGGCAGGTCTATACAAACTCTGGCCTTGTCTGTACAGTGGCAGTGGCAGGTCTTGTGGAGGACCTCTGGAAGCTGAAGATTTAAGAGTGGGTGCTATGCATGAGTCCTGAGCAACCTCACTGGTGAACTTCCAGATCTAGACCATGTCAGCAGACTTGGGTGAGGAGGGTGTGGACTGGACATGTTCAGCCCTGTTTTCTCTGACAACCCAAGCCAGCCTCGCAGGAGCTGATGACCCTTTGAGTACTAAAGGAACCAGCCAAACCAATCTCCTGATCTGGGAGGCATCTGTCCTCCATCAGGTAATATTAAATATTTTCATTAGTGACTTGGATGCTGGAAATAGAGTATACTTATGAAATGTGGATGGCAGGAAGCTGGGACAGGTTGTAAGAGCATTAGAGAACAGAATTACAAATCAAAATGATCATGATAAATAGCCCAAAATCAGACAGACGAAATTCAATAAAGGTAAGTGCACAGTGCTATATCCTGTACTTAAAACGCAAATAAATACAAACTAGGTAATAAGTGGCTAGACAGCAGTACAGCAGAAAAGAATTTGGGTGTTATAGTGGATTATAGATTACACACGAGTTGGCAATGTGGTGTTGCTGCAAAAAAAAAAGAGAGCAAAGGTTGTCCTCAGATGTATTAACAGGGGTGTGACATCTAACGCACAGGACATAATTATACTGTTCTACTCAGGGCTAGTGTGACCTCATCTGGATTGCCATCTCAGTTATATTAAAAAAATGTAGAAAAGCTGGAGAAAGTCCAAAGGAAAGGAACTAGAATAATCAGAGTTTTAGAAAATGTGACCTAGAAGGAAAGGTTGAAGGTTTGTCTAATCCAGAAAAGTGAAGATGGGGAGGGGGGAAAGGGGGCATGATGAATCTCCTGACCCTAAAAAAGTTCCTTTCCAAGTCTACTGAGGGTAGGGCAAGGAAGAAATCATTGATGACACATAGGGGGTGCACATGTGTGCATGTGCACCCCCTAAGATTGGTGGTGCACCCCCTGTAAAAAGCACTGCCAGTGGTGCCTGCAGGTGGTCGCCATTCGCCCCCCCCCTCCCCCCAACCGCTGACACCAGTGTAAAATTGCCAAAAAACTAACAACATTCTGAGATGTGTTAAAATATCATATGCAAGGCACAGGAAGCAGTTGAGTATTGCTCAAGTCTTACTTGAAGTACTTTGTCCAGTTTAGGGAAAAACTGCAGGAAAGACATAGATAGACTGGAAAAAGTCCAAAGGCGAGCTACACAAATGAATAATGGTCTTGAAACCCAGGAAAGGATGGATGAATTTGGATTATTATTGTGGAGAAGAGAAGATTTGAGGGATATTGTAGGTGCACTTCATTCTGCACTTCATCCTACGACAGAGCAGGGGGGATGGATTTCAAATATAAACGTGGTTGGTATAAAGAGGATGAATCGTATAAAGAGGATTGCAGCAACAGAGTTTTCAGTTGGATATTAGGAAGGAGTGTCTGTTTACGTGGGTGGTTAAGTACTGGAAGAGATTACTTAGAGAGGTGGAATCTCCATCACTGGACGTTTTTAATTGTGAGTTAGACAAACCGTTGTCTGGGATGGTTTCAGGGGTCCTCCTGCCTCAATCAGCAGGTTAAATCAGGTGACCTACTGAAGTCACATCCAGTTTTATTTTCTGTGTCTTGGTTTGGTTGGGGATGGTCTAGGTCATGGGTGTCAAACACATGTAGTGCCCCAGACTGCAAGGCTCCTTGTGGGCCAGTTCTGGCATGGGGCACAGGATAGTGGCTCTGGCAGTAATGGCAGCAGGGGTGGGAGTGGGACAAGCTGCTGTAGGCCAGGTGGACATTTGCTGTCATGGAGGCAGCACAAGCAGTGGCTGGCCAAGTGGTGGCAGGGCAAACAAGGGGTGTATGAGCACAGCCTTCACTTGCTCTCCTGCCACTGATGGGCATGTTCTGTGGCAAGCCATGCCAACTGGTGGCCATACCACCAAACTCCTTGGTCCACTAGCGGGCCAGATGAAGCAGCACTGGCCTGTGGGTCCTATGTCTGGCATCCCTGCTCTAGGTGTATTTCCTCCTGCCTTGGTGAAGTGGGATGGACTAGAACCATGTTTTTCAACCCTTCTGATTCTTTGGGTCCCTTCCAGCTCCTTGAACAAGCTGCTTTTGCTGCTTATCCACAATGCCTCCGTAGTTCACAAGTTGAGAATCACTGGACTAGATGATCTGTAGACATTCTTTCCAGCCCTACCTTTCTAAAATCTTCGTAACCCTTATTAACACAAGTAGATTTGGGGGAGAATAAAACCCTAGGCAAAAGGGAAGCCCAAAAGTTACTGACAGCAAGAACTTGGATGGATCAAGGGGAAGTTAAAGTTAAAGAAAATCACAGTTTGCCATTCAGATTATCTTCTTCCTTTTCATTAGAAAGCAGATGGGTGAATGAACACATGGAGGCCACAAGGCTGAGAAAGTGAGGAAGAGCAGATGCAAAGTCTTTGGTCACATGAGATCAATGAGTCTTGCAAGGTTTCTGAATTCCTGACTTTTTAGCTGGTTGGAAAGGGAATAGAGGAGAGCAAATTTCCTCCTTTGTGACAGTCATTTACATGTATTGTTGTCTCACCAGGTTTGGGCACTAACCTGCCTGTGGAGGGGGTGATACCAAAGATTCTGGATCAACTTCCTCCTCTCTCAAATTAGAAATCCTTTGCCTTGACACTCCCAGGTGTGACAAACAGCAAAGGCACATTCCAGCTAGCATCACCCTAGTGATGAGCAGTGGGTGTTGGCTTTTAAGGTACCTCACCTCACCCCACAGCATTTATTAATGGTGATCTGACTCAGATATAAGTAGATTCAAGGATGTCTACAATAGCATCCTATTTCCTAATCTATTTGCAGTCATTATTAATGTTGGACTACATACTACTCTCCAAATCCACTTCTTTGTGTCTCACTTTCCTGCAATGAACAGATACCTCATACCAAAGTATGGTTTCACCACATGCGTTCTCTCATGACTCCTGTGGATTCCCAGCTTGGGAGGGAAATCAACTTCCCAGTAGGGCCATCAGACCTTTTCGCCAGGCCCACTTCATGGCCTGGACTACCTATTTTGTCCTGCCTACAAACAGGAATAACTCTATCCTGTAAAACCTAAGCTTTGAGTGGAACATTTGTTAGCTACCCCTCTTTCCCCTATCTTGATATGTCTAAAAAGCCCACCATTTCCAGGGAAAGACTTGTTTAGCAGTGGTTCTAGTGTTTTCTTTGAATTTTCCCATGGTTTCCACATTTTTTCTGGTGTTGCAATTAAAACAGGAGGGTAATTTAGATAAATAGAGATTATAGAAGCATAACAGTTTCTGTGTATGTTGGTAGAAATAAAACAAATCATTACAGAATGGAACATAGGTGCCCCACTTCTAGTTTGGTGATGTGCATAAAAGACCAGTTACTGATTGAACATCTAGTCAAACACTTAAGCCCTTGGATAGACAGGTTAGGTTTCAGGAGTGCCCTTTTGCCAAGAAAATAGAAAATTATCTCTTTCTTTCCTCCTACTATGCTGTACGATGACACGCAGGATGTCAGGGTACAGGTGTAGTAAGAATAGCTGTGCCCATATAAGACTCTCCTCTTTGGACATTGACTTGGACTAAGTATGGACTGTTGATGGAAGATAGGAAGATACACCTTAGGGCAGGGGTTCTCAAACTGTGGGTTGTGACCCCCCGGGAGTTGTGAGTAGCTTAAAAGGGGGCTGCATACTTCCCAGGGGGTATGTGCAGGGAAGCAGCGGCGGTCCGGAGTGATGGATGGCAGCAGCGCTGCTGTG